GTTCATCGTATTTACTGCACACTTCATTTACTTTGGTGTCGTATTTGTCTGTTAACCATTTTTAGTGAACTTAATTTCTTTGAATTTATATATATATATTTTATGTCTGCACACGTTGTTTACAAGCGTGGACAACTCGTTAGTATTTCTCTTTTTAAAATGATAAACATATGAGTATAATTGAAACAATATTTTGCATAACGGCCAGGGGCATTGTCTTGTATCACGGCCTAAGTCTTTGTCTTGTATCAGGCCCGGGCCCTTCTTGGCCTTGGACACATATCTTCTATTAGACAGGACATTAACATTTTACAATTTTTATGTTAGCGAATATTACTTTTGAAGTACATGTGCCTGCTGCTGAAGTACATGTGCCTGCTACTGAAGTACATGAGCCTGCTGTTGAAGAAGATGTACAATAAAATAGATGTAAATGTGCTTAAATTGCCTGCTGTAGAATTGCAGAGGGACTGTGCATCTCAATTGCACTCGTCCAGTGTTTCTTTCAGACAATGTCCCCTGGGGGGCATTTCAGAATGGTGGGGGGGGGACGGAGTGCTATTGGCCAGATGTGTAGCTGAGGGGGGACAGATGTCCCCGGGCGCCAGACTGGCGGGGGCGCTATAATGGGCTTTGGTGGGATTTAATGGAAACAAAATAATTGGTTTCAAAGTTGAGGGGTAGGATGAGCGCGAAATTGAATATTGTCCCATGTTGCCAAACACTCTATAGAGGCTCATAAACAGTACAACATTTATAATCGATGAATGAAGGCCTACGACAGATTAGCCTTAAATATACAGAACATCACATATATCGACCGCAGCGATTCTTCATTAGATTCCACTAATTGTAATCGGTTATAGGCAGCAGTTACTATTCCCTTTAAAATTGTTTAAAAAATGACTATTTGGTCGTTTTTTATAAAATATATTTTCGTACACATTTTGCTCGGGGGGGGGGGGCGGAGGCACTTGACTTCCCCCCTACCCGGATAGATTTCCTGAAAAGAAACACTGCACGCGCCCAGGTTCTCAACTGCGCATGGTTGCTTTTTTCTTTCCATCCAATATTTAAAATTGTTTAAAAATTGACTATTTGGTCGTTTTTTATAAAATATTTTTTCGTACACATTTTGCTCGGGGGGGGGGGGGCGGAGGCACTTGACTTCCCCCCTACCCGGATAGATTTCCTGAAAAGAAACACTGCACGCGCCCAGGTTCTCAACTGCGCATGGTTGCTTTTTTCTGTCCATTCAATGATCTGTTCACAGTTCCCATTAAGAATGTGGTGAAGTGAAATTTCGGAAGGCAGCACAATATTTCATTATTAAAAGGAAGAAACAAACTTAACAATTTTTCACTTCAATTTTTTTTATTGTTTGCATGTAATGATACATAGTCATTCAATGTGAATTGTGTTCAGTCCGTGTCCCTTATTGAAAAATAATAATTATATGTATAATTAGCATCGCAAGAAGTCAAACATAAGTTATGTGAGTATGGTAACGACAGAGATGATGATAATTGCATCTCAACTCTTATACCAATTAAAAGCTAATGTAAGGAAATGCTTGAAAACGTTCCAATCCAAGTATTATTCTGACAGTTATATTCTCTCCAGTTTATTTCGGAAAAAAAACAAAATTAAACAAATTATCCGCATTTGTTCCGTATACAATCCGAATACCCAATTACGAATTTAAAATTGTCAACAAATTTAGAACACCACAAAGCGAAGGAAAAACGGCGCCCCACCCCCCTATAATGTGATTTGACAATTTTGGCCCCAACTGGTTACGTATTGAGAGCCGGACATCATTTATGAATCTGGATGCTACGGACTCTATTACTTTTACTGGCGGTACTACGGTACGCATAAGTGATTTTTTCGGTTTTTAGCTCTTTAGTGTAGCCCTATTATAAAATGTGTCTGTAAATAAATCTTTTTCTTTTTCTGTGTATTAATTTCCCGTAAACTTTCAATTTTTTAGCCCCCCCCCCCCTCCAAACCTTCTTAAAATACGTTGTTGTTGTTGTTTTTTTTACAGTTGTGGGGGCCATCATTAAACGATATCACGAGATTTTTTGAAAATATTTACATCC